TTTTTTAAAATAAAATGGAGTACTATTCAGCCATAAAGAATGAGAAATTAGAGGCATTTATACCTAAATGGATGCATATTAAGGTGATACTTTTTTTTTTCCTCATTGAGTTTATTGGTACTTTTTTAAGGTATACAGTACAGTTACATTCATCATTGAGATCTTAAATGAAATAAATAGGACACATGTAAATACTGAATAGTTTCTCTGGTGTGAGAAACCAAAAATGTAAATAAGGATGAAAGTGCATAATAGATAATGTGAAATAGGAAGAAAAGGTCCAAAGGGGAAGAGGAAGGCCTCACCTCCATGACCCACCTAGTCATGTGCAGGAGTATGCTCTAATTTGCTAGGTGTTGCTTTATTCAAAGAAGCTGACATATCTGGATTAATGGTCACAACCTATCTCTTGTCAACTTCATACCCAAACACATCTCCTTTTACCATATTAACCTTCAAGTAAAGACAATAGCAAGTTCATAATTCCACAGTGGCACAGAGCAAACATTCCCACTCTCAAAGGAAAACATGGGAAGATGGAAGAGTATTGTGCCAAAACAAGACTAAAAAATAGTAGAGCAAACAAGGTGGTAAAATGTGAGCTCCAAAGGGCATGGGTGGCCCCACCCCTATGGCCTTTTGGTTGCAGCCCACAAGATTTCACTCTTGGGCTGACTCCACTCATGGACTGCAACTTTCCACAGCTGCGATTCCACATTACTAGTATCTCTACTGCATCTTTGGCTTCATTCTCACAGTTTCATGCACTACCTTCGCAGGGATTCCTTGCCTGACTTTCCAGGTCTTCTTCTGAAATCTAGGTAAAAGCTTCCATGACCCCACAACTCTTGCATTCTGTATGGCTATAAAAGCAGCATCATGAGCATGATACCAAGGTCCAATGTAACCTAGGTTACTATAAATACATATAAACATATATAAAATATAAATTATATAGTATATATGTACATACAAATATGAACATTGCTGCCACTGGTTATTTGTGTGTGTGTGTGTGTGTGTGTGTGTGTGTATACACACACACACACACACACACACACACACACAAAATATTCATAAATGGCTAGGGCTGGAAACCACATTTAGTTTCCAGTAAAATAGAACATTGTGGTATCTATACTGGGACACCTAATGTGATGTGTTTGAATGATCCTACCACATCATTTTCCCTCTTGAAAATGACTCACTACTGCCTCTATGAAAAAGTTCAAATACTCTAGCCAACCCAGGTACCTTGAGAATTGACAGTTTTACTTACCTTCTAAGCACTAGAGTTTGGCACAATACTTGGCGCATTGTATGCTCCAAGTTAAGAGGCTACTGAACAGAATTAGTAAGTGTTTCCTTTAATACTTTCCCCTAAGTTGGTCAGCTACATATAAAACGATATTTTTAAAAATTATGTGGAAGTTATACAGAACTGTCCAAACACAATCAGACTGCTAGTTTTGTTTAGCATAATCATAATTTTAAAAGAAATTATAATTACCACGATATAGTGTTTGTCATTTACAGATCTTTAATGCTCTTAGTGTGGTGACCTATATAACATGGAACTGATTTTCATATTGACAACCAGGAGTAAAAACATGATAAACAACTTGTCTAATGTAGTGAATCAATTACAATTCTTGCTATCATTTTTCATTTTACTACTATACCAGAGACTCATACTAAATATTGTGTCTAGTCACTACATACATTTGTATTTTTATTTACAAAAAAGTATCATCAGATATTCTAAGCTTAAAAAAAACAGAATAGGTCCTGAAATGATCCAAATATGTGTATTATTAACAATAGAACTGGCCCATTCAAGAATTGGTGATCAGGGTAGGGATATAGCTCAGCAGCACAGTATCTGCATGGCAAGTGTGAGGTCCTCAGTTTGATCCCCAATACCAAAACAACAAAAAAAGAATTGGTGATCAGTACTGCTAAAAAATTACTATGGTTTCATTTAAGATGAGTCTGCAGCCAGAGGTGATGACGCACATCTATAACCCAGCAGTCTGGTAGGCAGGGGGAGAATGAACCCAGCATGGGCAACTTAACAAGACTCTGTCCTAAAAATAAAAAAGTAAAAAATAAAAATAAGGGTTGGGAAAAGGAGATATGTCTGCTAGTTCAGAATAAAAAATTTCACAATAAAAAAGTCTACATACAAAAGCAAAGAATTATACATCTGCAAGTGCTTGTAAGGTTCTGTATGTGTATACAAGTTTAAGGGTGTGCACAAACAAACCTACGCATATACATGTTTTTCAGATTCCTACTTAATTCTTTTATATATGATGTTTTATTATATCATTTCTATATAAAATTATATACACTATCCCATATGGAATACAATTTAATATTTTTCTTGATAAACCAAGTTCATTTAACATACTATTTTAGTGTGTGTGTATACAGAAATATTACAGAGGCCACTGTAATGTTCGTTACTCTAAAATGCCCAGGTTACTGAATATTTAGCTCTTAGTCTAGTTTTATATTTTTAACATCTTCTTCAGAGGTTGTATTCATTTTCTAATTTCCTACTTTTCTTTTCTGGTTTTATTTTGTTTTCTGAGACAAGGTTTCACTCTGTAGTGCAGGCTAGGTTTAAACGCACGATGTAGCTCAGGCTGTCCTTGAACTCATGGTGATTCTACTGCCTCAGACTCCAGAGTACTGGGATTATAGGCATACGCTACCACACCCAGTCAATTTCCTAGTTTTTATCCACTGCCATGATGAAAAAAAAAAAAGACAAAAAAATCATTATGTTTTACATAAAATTATATTAAATATTCTCTCAGGGAATATTAATCATTCCTTTGCAATAAACACATGAACTCTCTGTGCTATTTAGCCACTAATAGGCATTTTCACTTATGTCCAAATTCAACTACTTATTTTGGAGACTTGATGTTACGAACACTTGGATTTCCATGAAAATAAAGATACTATTATAAATGAACAGATACAGATCTAAATTTGGCCAAGTATATACCTTTAAATTTAGTACCTAGTGTTCATTAACAATCACCAAACACTACATTTTGATCATTAAAATGCCTCACTTAAAAATCAACTTGCTACTGCAAACCTCTTGCATTCATTTAAAAGTGTACAGAGTTTTGAAAGACACACTATCAGTCAGGATTCAAAACATTTCAAACACCTCCAAAAGCTTTCCTATGTCTTTTTTGCACAATACCCGCCTGTTTCCCATCTTGTTCAACCAGTTATCAGTTTACTGTCATTGTAATTTTCTATTTTTATAAATGGCATTGTACAGCATATGTTCTTTTGTGTTCAGATACCTACATTTTTAATACTAAGATTTACTTTAAACTGGCGGACAGTTTCTCATCAGATTTTAAATACAATCAGACCAGGCTTTCTAGATGTGGAAAAGTAATAAAACAAGTGTTTATATTTGCTACTCAGTTTCTGGGATTGTTTTAATTAGCCTCTTGCCTCAAATGAATATGTATGTTGAACATCTTTAGTCTGAATAATTTGAAGTGCTGCAAAATCCAGGACTTTGAGCACTGACGTGAAGCCATACATGGAAAGCTCCACACATGACCTCATGTGACAGGTGACAGAAAAAAATATAGGCTCACTGAACATAGTATATAAAATTACCTTCGGCTGTATGTACATTATATATGAAATATAAATGAATTTTATGTTTAGAACTTAGTCCCATCCCCAAAGTATATAGCTGCAAAATCCAGGACTTTGAGCACTGACGTGAAGCCATACATGGAAAGCTCCACACATGACCTCATGTGACAGGTGACAGAAAAAAATATAGGCTCACTGAACATAGTATATAAAATTACCTTCGGCTGTATGTACATTATATATGAAATATAAATGAATTTTATGTTTAGAACTTAGTCCCATCCCCAAAGTATATATATATTATTTTCCCTTTTTTTGAGACATGGCCTCACTTTCTAGTTCAGGCTGGCCTCAAACATGTGGCAATCTTCCTGCCTTAGCCTCCTGAATGCTGGAATTACAGGTGTGCACCACCACACTTAACAGCACTAAGAAATTTAGATTAAAGGTTATTAAATCTGCATCAGGCATTAGATATGATCAGCCAATGAGATGAAAAAAAATCATAACTGTGATTTCTACTTGTTGACTTTTAATGGCTAATAAGCAAAAGGTTTAAACTATAATAATGTAGATATTATATTTATTTTAATAAGTTAATAATTTTTAAAATATGAAGCACTTTATTGGAACAATCCCTATACCAAGCCAAAATCTTACTACACATATGGTCTCCAGACCCTCAATGCTGATATCTCTGGAAGCTTGTTAGAAATACAAGTTAATAGTTTTTGAGTGACATATACTACACCTAGGTACTAAATGTACTTTATCCCATATAATCTTTCCAATAACTCTAAGATATTATTAGTACATTCTGATTTTATAGATAAGGAAACTTGGACTTAGGGGATTTTGTTCATGTCTGAAGATATATAGAGTTTGAATCCAAGACTGATAGCAAACTCATGTTCTAAGTGATTGACCACCTATTCTGATTTTAAAAACACAGGGACAAAAAGGTCATCAAAAGCTCTGTAATTAGTCTATGTATCTTTCAAAGCAATACAACAAAGTAACCATAAATAAAAGTAAGTGAATCAATAAGATCAATAAGACTTTCTTCCTGCCCTAGTACATTTTTAAAGACAGACAAGCACATAGATGTTTACTATAGGTGGAAACTTCTGCCTAGGTATATTCAAGCTTTTTAAGAGCTTTGCAGAAAATCAAAAGTCATATGACAAAAAGCATAAATATAAACACTCAATAGAGACTCAAACTTAACTATGCACATTAGGTACCATTCCTAAAAATCAAAACACCTAAGTCATAAATAGATTTCTAATTGAACAATAACAAAAAAATCCTGGCAACCTGAGCTTCTGGAACTCAGCAGAAATTCTGAGAACCCTAACAAGGGAAGTAAATCTGCAGCTTGGAGAATAACCACAAGAGCTGAAGCAGAGCCAAGAGGTAAAACAATTATGTGAAGCAAGAGCAGATGGAGAACAGGAGGAGGTAGGCACCGTCACTCAGGAAGATGACAAGAACCACAGGCAGCTCTTTTTAGCCTGAGGATAACATGAGACATTCACAGGACAGCTATTCTACTAGATTCAAGGAAGGCAGACCATTGAGGGAGGAGGGGAGAGAACCAATGGAAATAGTACTCTGATTAAATGAAGTTAATGTATTAATACACAGGACAAAAACATTTATGAGGACTTCAGAGCCAGTTACAAAGTACAATACTCCAGGCAAGTGCAAAACTCAGGAAGGATGCATTGAAAGAGTAAGAAAAACCATTTCACAATAACTGCAATAAACCCTCCCCCAAACTGACACAGCTCAGCTTTGCTGCCACTTCTGGATGGGAGAGAAGAGTACAGTAGAATGTGTATTTATTTACTTCAGCTTTTCAGAGGGTTTCCTGAGGGACTAGATTTTCTCTTGCCTGATTCAGGAAGCTTATGGAACCAGCACTGTTTGGGTGCCTGGGTGCCCACCAAAAGCAAAGGAAAGCAACAACAATTTGTTGCAGCAAGAGAGGGCCAACAGCAGCACACAGAATCTAGCAAGCTTGCTGTCACTGGCAAAAGTTGGACAATTCATGGCTTCTCCCTAAGGAGGGAGGGAGAACAGAGGAGATTACAAATAGTACTCTGGCTTTCCAGAGAGATGTCCAAGGGACTACTATTTGTTGTACTTGATTTAGGGAAGGAGCTGGCATACAGTTGCTCCTCAAGGTCCATAGGAGACTGGTTCCAGGACTCCCCACAGATACCAAAATTGGTGGCTACTCAAGTCTCTTATATGAAATGGTACAATATTTGCACGTAACCTATACACATCCTACCATACACTTTGATTCTATATTATTTATAATACCTATTACAATGCAAATGCTATGTAAATAGTTGTAATATATTGCTTAAGGAATAAAGACAAGAAAAGTGAACATGTTCAGCAGAGACACCATTTTGGAGGGAATATTTTATGTCCTTGGTTGGTAGAATCTGTTGAAATAGAATCCAAGGGCATAAGGGACTAACTGTACTCATGATAGCTAAAAGAAGAAAGGAGAGTGAGGCAGCTTGTGCTGTAGAACCAGAAAGTACTACAGATGGACATTAGAGGGAGAAACAGATTAACAGACCCCTCAGGGTACCACACTGAGGGTTGTACCCAGAGCCTTTGCACCAACCTACCTTAGCCTTTTCTATTTTTTAATTTTGAGACAAGTTCTCATCATGTTGCTAATGTGTCCAGGCTGAGCTTGAACTTGTAAATCTGCTGCTTCAGCCTCCTACAGTGCTAAACTACAGGCACAGCCACCATGTCCAGCTAAGTGTTCTTTTAAAAGAAATACAGTTCTCTACAATTGGAAAATTACATTCCCAAACTCAGAGAAATACCCTGCAAAAACAAACAAAAGACTTTAAAGTCCCCCTGAATTTCTAGACAGGCTGATAAATATTTTCTTCTGTATGAACCCACCCCATAAAGGCTGAGAGAGGTGGATATTTTTGCAAGTGCTTAAACGTCAGAAACAACAAATCTGAAAGGCACACAAAGGCACCAGGAAACATAGCCCCATCAATAAAACAAATCTCCCCAAGATACCCTCCCAACAGATATTTATGAATCACCTGACAAAGAATTCAAAGTAAATATCCTAAAAAGCTCATGATCTATAAGACAACACAATAAGCAACTAATCAATATCAGGCAAAAGATGCATGAACAAAAGGAAACTATCAATAAAGAGAAACTATAAAGAAGCAAAAGCTAATTCTATACCCAGAGTGCACAAAAAATTCCCTAGATAAGCTTAACAGCAAACTTGATAAAGCAAAAGAGTTAGCAAATTTAAAGTCAAGCTATTTAAAACTGTTGAGTCAGAAGAGCAAAGAAAAAAATGAATGAAGAAAATCAGAGAATCCTAAGGGATTTACAAAACATCAAGAGGGCCAGAAGTGCATTTGCAGAGTCCTAGGAAAAGAAAATATAAAAAGGAGAGCTGATTTAAAGAAATAACAAATGAATACTTCCCAAGGCTAAGGAAGGGAACTAACATCTGAATTCAAGAGGCTCAAAGGACTCTAACCAAGATAAACCCATACTAAGATGAATTATAATCAAACTGTCAAGGCAGGCAGAATCTTAAAAGCAGCAAGAGAAAGGGAAGCTATGTGTCTATGAAAATAGGAATTCAGTGAAAACAATGTTAGTTTGTATGTATTATATAGGGAATGAAGGGATTTCAAGTAGAGATTAAAATGAATATAAAAAGATCAGGAACAAAGGGGAGAAAAGTACAAAGGGACATCAATTAGATCATCAGATTTCTTATTAAAAACCTTGCAGGCCAGAACAGTAGAATGATACATTAAAAGTTCTATCAACCAAGGTTACTATACTCAGCAAGAATGTTCTTAAAAATACAAATACTTTCCTAAATAAAAGCTGAAGGAGTTCAACATGGGAGGTGTTCTTAGATAAATTTAAATATAGAGCTAAACATAGGATACTGTAATAGTGTTATTGTGGTGCATAAAGCACTTTTAATTCTTATATAGAATGTAAAGACAAAAGCACAAAAAATAAGATTATGTTAATGGATACACACAATAAAGATAATTTGTGAAAGTAATAACATACATGGGTAAGAAGATATAAAAGCTTTGTATATGATTCGGTTAAATTATTAGCTTAAAACAGACTGTTATGACATTTTATTTAAGCCTTTTGCTAACTAAAAAGAACTATGTACAGAAGATATACAAGGAAAATGAGAAAGGAATCAAAGCATGTTGATACAATAAAATCAATGAAACAAAAATGAAGGCAGTAAGAGGAAAAAGCTAAAAGATAGAAAACAATGAAAAAAATGGCCACACTAAGTTTTTCCATAATTAGTTTAAATGTAAATGGATTAAACTCTCCAATCAAAAAGACAGCCTGGCAGAACAGATAAAAAAGCATGAGGCAATTATATGTTGTCTACAGATAACTCACATTAGATGTAAGGATACACCTAGGTTTAAAATGAAAGGATAGAAAAAGATATTCCACACATATAGTTACCAAATGAGACCAGGGATGTTCAGACCTGTATCAGACAAAATAGACTTCTGATCAAAAACTGATGGTCATAGGAGACAAATAAAGGTATTATAAAATTATAAAAGACTCAATCCACCAAGTAGATAGAACAATTATATATGCAATCTAACACCAGAGCAACCAAATATATGAAGAAAAAATTAAAAGAACTGAAAGGAGAAATAATAACACATTAATACTAGCAAATTTTAATAACCTTTCAATTACAAACAGAACAACTAGCCAGAAGATCAACAAGGAAAGTGAGGAGTTAATATGTTCCCGCTGGCTTGAACCACTGGCGGTACACATATAACTATCCCATGGGCTGCTTCTACCACCCAGTGCAAACTGTCCCAAGCCACTTGATGGGACAACCATGCACGTACCACTGGTGGTTCAGAGCCACCCAGCAGTGAGATATATGAATTACGGCTCTGTAATTCGTGATTGTAATTCTAATACTATGGACAAAATGAACCTAACAGGCATTCCACCCAAAAGCATAATACACATTCTGCTGACATGCATATGGAATATTCTCCAGGACAAATCAGGCATTAGTCCACAAAACAAGTCTTAAGAAATTTAAGACTGAAACCATACTAAGCATTTCTTCTGATCACAATGACATGAAACCTGCCATCAACAGTAGTAGGAAAACTGGATAATTAAAAAATACCACGGAAAAATTAAAAAATACACTGTTAAACAACCAAGAGATTAAAGAAGAAACCACAAGGTAATTAGAAAATATGTTATGACAAGTAAAAACAAAATTACAGCACATTTATGTGATATGACAAGAACAACAGTAAGAGGGAAGTTTACCTACAGTTTAACAAAAAGAATGAAAATCTCAAATCAACAAAATAACTCTGAATCTCAAGGAATTAAGAAAGGAGCACTAAAACCCAAAATCAGTAGAAGAAAGGTCATGATAAAGAGTAGAGCAGAAATAAAACAGAAACAAACAAACAAACAGAAGAGATCGGTAAAATTAAGTATTGGCTTTTTAAAAAAATCCACAAAATTGCTAAGTCCTTAGCTACATTAACTAAGAAAAAAATAACGAACTCAAATAACTAAAATCAGCAACAAAAGAAAACACACTGCAATTGATAGCACAAAAATATAAATGATTATAAGGAATTAATGTCAACGACAAATTAGATACAACATGCCAACAAGTTGGACAAGCTTGAAAAAAATGGACAAATTCCTAAAAGCACACAACTTCCTAGGATTGAATCATGAAGAGAAACACTGAACTGTTTTATAAAACTGTAGAGTAGGAAACTGACTCAGTAATCAATATCTAACAAAAAGAGGACTTCGCTGAAGAATTCTACCCTGCATTTAAAGAAAAATTAGTATCAGTCTTCCTCAAACTTTTCCAAGAAGTTAAAGACAAGGTGTTATAGTTCAAATATATGTGTCTTCTTTATAATTCATATGAAACTTAATCTCCAGTGCAATAATATTAAGAGATGGGCCCTTGAGGAAGTGATATGGTCACAAAGGTTCTTACAGTGTGAAAGGGATTAAAAGCCTTTATAATAAAGAAGCTTCACAAAGGCTTTGGTCCTGTTTGACCTGGGCTTCTGCCAAGGAATAAGTAAAATAACTTCCATTTACAGAGGACATGATCTTATCTGGAGGAAACCCCATGAGATCCACCAAAATTATTCACAGATTTCATATGCATATAAACAAGAGTAGTTCAGCAAGGAAATTAAAGATTAGGAGAAGCGAAAAGACAATCTATAACAAATTAATAACCTTCCTTCCCTCCCTAAATCTAAATACCTTTATTTATACAATAAATACTATCCATATACTGAATTTTGTCTATCTGAAAAATTATCTCCATTCACAGCAGATCTCTGAAATCTAAAAGATTGTAGCATAATTACACACACACACACTATTTTCTCCTCAGCTCAACTCACAAGAAAGTATTTACTTTTAATGACAGAAGAGTTGATGGCATATTAATAGTTTCAGTTGCTAGAGGATAGATGTAAATGTGATTAAAGTGTAGACATTTGCAACATTTCCAACACAAGGAGAAAATGACTTCAGACTAATTAGTTAAAAATACATTAAAAGCAAAAATACCTATGCTACATTCTAAAGTCACATCTATGGGCTTCCATGACATTTATAAAGTCCTTATCTATTTTTTTAACTTAAAAATTCATACATGTTGGAAAATGAAAAGTCACAAAAGCTAATCTAAAATTTTTAAAAGTTCCTTTATATGTGAAATCTACCTACATATGTTTATTACAACCTTAGGAGAAAATAAAGAGCTTGTTTTTATTTTTGATAGAATTGGTTACTGTCACATAACTCATTATTTTCTCTGTGCATCAGCTATGCCAAAGATTCAATATGTAAAAGAAAAACCCACAAACCTCTTTTATCACATCTTCCATATTCTCCTTCTCCTGAATAAGTCTATACCTGAGTTCATTGTTTTCAAGGCATAAAGTTTTCTAAAGGCACAGTGTTCAAGTCACAGTTTTCTAAAAAGCACATAGTGACAAATGATTGGGGCAAGGAAGGTAGTTTAAACAGGTATATTAATTAAATATATCATTCAACATATTTGTGCTAAATATTATGATAGATCACTCCAATTCACAGCTGAACTGTCATATTTTAGACAAGTTTGATAAAAACATGCAGACATCATTACACAAAAGCCTCTATTTTGTATATAACCCATTATCCTACCCATCTGCAAAATAAACAAGTAAATTCAGATAATGACTTCATTAAACATTTTATTTTAATGGTCAAGGGTACTTGTAGTTTTCCTGTTTCCAACAGCACTGTACTTAATTCTGTCAACGAATCTTAAAAATTTGTATTTGGTGGTCAAATAGGAAAAATTATAGTTAAATGTGTATCACCAGCAACATATATAATACACACCTATGATCTAATGGTACAGATTACTTTTTTTTTTTTTTGGTACCAAAAATCAAACTCAAGATCTTGCACTTGCAAGGCAGGCACAGTGCCACTGAGCTAAATCCCCGGCCCACAAATTACATTTCTATCAACACAGTAAATGTCATAGTAACATTCAAGTCATATAAATATACATACAGTGTGTATATATATATGCATATATACATACTTCATTGGAATGGCTTATACATAAATGTGGAAAAGTAGAGGGACGAAGGAAGCAAAGAGAGGGATTTCTTTTCCTACCTTCTACTGAAACATTCTGGCAAATTTCACAAATGAAGTATCCTGAAATCTCTGTGTTCTGGCAAACTGATCATAAAAGGTTGCGTAATTATTTGAAACCTCTTTTAGAAAATCCACTGAATTTGAAGAATGAAAACAGGATTATTTTTTGTTTTATTTGGTACTGGGGATCGAACTTGGGACCTTGTTCTTGGGAGGCAGGCAGCGACACCACTGAGTTAAATCCCTGGCCCGAAAACAAGATTTTTGTATAACAAAAATAAACAAGATTATTCTTTTGTTCATTTATTTGTTTGTTTTTAACAAGATTATTCTTAAAATAAGCAATTTTTAATCACTTACTACACTGAATTTATTATTTTGCACTTATCTATAATCTTAGAGAAAATGTATCAACTCAAGAAAGAGGCCTTTCCTTGAACAGCTAGTGCATAAATGACCAAAGATCAGTATCTGCCTTAAGATCAGACAGGATTAACTTCAGAAAAATACTTCTGTGTTTGTATATATTATATATACATATGTATATAAACATTTGTAAGATATAAACATTTGTTAATTCTATTGGCAGGACAAAAAAAAAAAATTCAAACCATAGCTCCATGCAGTAAAGTACTTTGCTCCTCCTGTACTGGTTTATATAAGCAATATAAACTTTCATCAACCTTGGGCTGGGGATTTAGCTCATTGGGGCTACCACCTGCCTTGCAAGCTCAAGGACTGGAGTTCGATCCCTGGAACCGAAAAAAAAAAAACAAAAAAACTTTCATCAACCTATTTAGTTACTGAGCTAACTCTGTTATATTTATATACCTTTATTTCAGAAACAAATATATCATGATAGAAAACACAAAAATAATTATAACAGAAAATGAAAGCTGACCAAACAAGGTAGTCCTAAACAACCTAGAAAAAACAAACTCCTCTGATCTCATTTACAATATGTTCTCTTCTGGAATTATCAATAAAAAGAGGTGTGTGGCGGGAAAATAAGGAGAGTGAAGAAACCAGTTTTAATATTCCTACAAATGGCTGGCCTACTCCTAAATAAGGCAAAGCTGGACAGGAACTATTTTTCACTACCACAGTAGCAACTGTTGATAGTTCCTAATACTCATCCCCTCTTCTTCCTCAATAGAACTCTTCATATTATGGTGTGAACATGGCTCCCTGGCATGAAAGCCTTTAGGTCTCAGCTTTCCTCCCCTTGCTCGCAGGAGTGACAAATGAGAGTAAGTGAAAGGGTATGTATCTTTACCTCTCTGCCTTCACGTTAGCTGGAATGTGGACATAAAGTCTAGTGCCCTATAGGCATCATGAGATATACTTGGAAGCCATACAGAGGAAAGCCCCAAAATGGAACTAGTCTGGGCTTCTCACCTTGTAGAGAGCCACACCAGCCTGGAAACATCAGTGTGCTGAAGACTGAACCCATGGCCTTGTGCATGCTACTCAATGAACTGTGTCCCCAGTCCCTGGTTTCTTGAACTGTAGAAAAAAAATTAAATGAACAAACATCTACTCTGTATATGTGATCCATCTCAGCCTCTTGAGTAGCTGGTACTACAGGTATGTGCCACCATGTCTTTCTGATTAAGAATAAAGATAGGAAAAATAAATGTAACTTCAATTTAAGAAGTTTATCAAATTATACATTATAGTCCACAGCAATAAAGTGTTATGAATAATCCCCAGTAACCAAGGGAGAAAGGATTAACCAGACTGAATTTTAGTGACTAGTTATTAAATAAATCTCCTTAGAATTATGTTCTATGGTATTCTGTGAGATTTAGTGTTACCTATCAATGAAAGAGTTAGGGAAATACTTATTACATAAAAGTGAACAAACTTAGTTTTGTTTTTTTTTTCCACTGCTGCTGTAAATGCATATTGTGGCTACAAACAGTTGGTTTGGCCTCTGCAGGGAGAGGATGGAAAACTAGAGGAGAAGCTACAAGGGCCACCCAGAACTTGAACATTTGGAGAGGCAGGTTGGTTTCCTAACAAGACAGGTTAAGCCAATGATGGCTGTGAACAAACTTAGTTTTCAAGTGTGTGTGTGTGTGTTTGTTGTTTTTTATTTCAAGACTTCAGGACCCTTTAAAAGTATCTTCAAGGTGGGGATGCAGTATGTACAATACAAATTCCAAATTTATTTTATCTTACTTTTGTGACACTTAAACTAGAACTGCTACACAGATTTATCATCTCTAACCAAAAATCTGAAATCAGAAATGCTCCAAATTCCAAAACTAACTGAGTGCTAATACAACACCACAAGTTGAAAATTCCACACTTCATGTGACTGGTCACAAGTAAAAATTCAGATTAGTTAAAAATACTGTATAAAATTACCTTTAGTTCATGTATATAAGGTGTATGTTAAACACAAATGAATTTCAGGTTTAGATTGGGTCTCATCCCCAAGGTATCTCTTTATATACAGTATACACATATATTCTAAAATCCTAAAAAAAAAGCCAACATCTAAAACTCTTCTGGTCCCAGGTATGTTGGGTAAGAGATACTCAACCTACACAAACATTTTTAAAAGAGACGGCACTGATAATATGGCACTATATTTTAAAGTACATGATGCTGTCCTTTTGATCAATATCAATTTTTAATCATGTGAATTTTCTAATGTGTTATCACCTATTCTTATATGTCATGTGTTAACTACCTGTTCTTATATCCAGAAATTTTCTCATATAGTGATTCACAACCTAAACCAAAAGAAGCAAAAATTTTTTTGAAAATTTATTCCACAGAACATTATTTTCTACTAATTCCAAATAGCACAAGAAGGTTTTGCAGGAAATGAAATGAAACCATGGTAACCACCTAAACCGATCATGAGCTATCAGATCAAAAGAACACACAGTACACTACACGTCAACGCCTACCAGCAGCATAATCGTTCCCCAGTTCCTTTTGATCCTCCTTCTTAAACACACAAAAAAGCTTTCAACCAATTTTCAGTATTTTAAAAATGTGGAAGCTCCATTACCAATATCTACCATAATTCTTTGGCTTTACTTAGGAATTCTAGACCATCTCACTTTAAATGTCAAACTAATATCCTGAGATTCAACTAAGAATTGGTTCTTTTCAATCATTAGCAAAATTATCTTGTGTTACGTCAATGAATTTTATTATTTTCTAATACAGTAAAAAATAGTATCCTTGTAATAAATCTTCAGTACTGTAGAAACTAAACAACATTCTCACAGGAATCCCTTAACAGAATTTTATCAGCATTCTAAATACAAAGCCACAATAAATTAAATCATAATTGCATTTATAGAATTCAGAGGATTTTCATCATCTTCTTATCCACTCCAATACTAATCATCAAATTCCACCTTAGACACTGAAACTGAACTCACATTGGTTCAACATGTTCTTAAACTATCAATCATCAGCTAAAACTCAATAAACAAGGTAAAGATTGATTTTTGTCAGGCATTAGCTGTTTGTTACACAACTCCATATCCAGGCAGACAATAGGGCAAACCTCAGCAAAGACTAACAGATCATCTTTGCTGTTATGGTTAACTACCTCCCAACCGTTCTTATTTAAAATAAAATACAATATACATATATAGCCTAAAACAGACATATAGTTTATGCATGACCAATTTCTGGAAGGACAGATAACTGGATTATATAATTTATCATCATATACATTTATGTGGAAAAAATTTTTAACATATCTGTTGCTTTCACAATAAGAAAAGTACATAATTTATCATCATATTCACCTGTACTTGAAGACTTTTTGTACCACATCTGTTGCTTTCACAATCATAATTAAGATGTGATAAACACTATGAATCCAGTTATTTTGCAGAGATTTGTTGCTATTTTTCTTTGATAAGTTATTTAAACATGGCATAAAATTATTTTTTATTTTTTGTTGTGGGAGATTAAATGTAGCGCCTCTAGCATGCTGATTACATGCTCTATCACTGAGCCACACTATCAGCCCCAAATTATTTTTACATGTACAAATGCTCATAGAGTATTTCAATGTAATTTTAGATCGTTAAACTTCAAACACATTTAATTTGGTTTTTCTCTTTATGGAGAAGTGGAAAGTTAGCCCTTTTGATAAATAGTTGAAATAATTCTCAACTTTAAAGACTAAAATGTTAAGCTTTAAAAGTTACTGATTTCTGGCCTGGGATTTAGCTCAGTGCTTCTGTTGTCTGCCTCACAAGCAGAAGGTACCAAGTTCCATCCCTGGTAACAACAAAAAAAAGTTACTGATTTAAAAGCTTAGAGTTTACCCATTATGTTGCAACTCTTGTCAACTTGTAAAAGAACTACTTATTTTATTATTGTTTCTAGATGGTGTTTTTTTTTCTAGATGGCGTTCTTAACAAATTATATTACTCCATTTCTTGGCTTTTTGTTTTTAAGCAAGTTAAACCCTGATTTTCTCATCCGTAAAATGCAGAAAACACTACCACATGAGTTTATTCTATAAATAAAACTAAGTATTTCAATCTATTGTCACGAACAAGAGGTTGAGTTACAAGATAATGTCACCTGTACAGCATCTGAGGTGGCCAAGCAGGGTCTGACATGAGTGAAGTCCTTGGACCACTCGCTTCTGGCCATAATGGGCTTGGCATTTTCAACTCCAGATATTTCCTAACAGCACCCTTTCTATGCAATGTGAAAAGGCTGGGAAACCCTGAGAATTAATACACATAAAATATTGAATAATATCTAGAACAGCAAATATCAAGTAAGCATTGGCTACTGTTTTATGTATGAAACTAGTCAGGCCAGGGATTTAGCTCAGTGGTTCTGCCACTTGCCTCGCAAGCACAAGGACCTGAATTCGATCCTCAGTACCAAAAACCAAACCAAAACAAAACTACTAAGTCAATTAACAAAATGAATGTGCTCAATCATTCAAACAAAAGGTACCCTGTTATCAACACATTCCAGGTCAGTTACAGAGAAATGGACCTCTGAGTATCTAGGATGCCTCCTACTGTATTTCAAAGTACACACACAAGTCAGATTCTAGTGATTCTTTGCAAAATAGGTAGCAGAGTCAGGAAGTGATCCTCATCTTGTATCAGTTCCTGTTGATTAGCTGCAAAAGGTACTTGAAACTTAACTCCATCCTAAGTTAAATGTTCAAGGTTACCTTAAAATACAAGCCTTAAAAATATTTTAAAAATCCTGAAATCAGCTTTTTCGGCTCTCTGCTTTAAATCCATTTCTATGTGTTCACTTTTGAGAGAGAACTTAAGTTTGAGTGGATAAGATGCTAGTGAATAAAAACCATGCTGAGTATAAAAATTTGAAAGCTGAAGTACTATTCAAGTTAAGTATAAACCAAAATTATGAGATACCACTTCACACTAGGATGCCTATGTTCGAAAAGACATAACAAATGCTGACAAGAATACTGAAAATTGTTACCTGCCTTTATTGACATCAGACTGTAATGGCTGAAAACAATTTGACAGTTATTCAAAAGATTTACTTTTTAGAAAAAACTTATTTGGTACTGGGATTGAATACAGGGCCTTACACATGCTAAGCACATACTCTACCACTGAGCCACACTCCTTGCCCCCCAAAATTACTTTTGAATTATAATATGACCCAGTAATTTTACTCCAAGATACATACCAATAAAAATATACATACATACAAAAAACTTGTACTTAGAATTATTCACAACAGCATTATTTATAGTCAAATTATTCATAATAACCCCAAAGGGAAAATAACCCAAATGTCCATCAACTGAAAAACAAAATGTGGTACCTATCCTTTTACCTGAATATTTTTCTAATATTATTCATTAATAAAAAGAAATAAGCTACTAATACATGCCACAACATGGATAAACCTTTAAAACATCTTGCTAAGGGCCAGAAGTTGACCATAAAAAGTCACAATATGATTCCATTTATATGAAACTTCCAAGATATACAAATCTATACAGACAAAAGTAGTTTAGTGTTTGCCTAAGTTGGGAAAAATGGGACATATGTGCAAATGGATACAGAGTTTCTTTTTAGGGTGATAAATGCTCTAAAATTACATTGCATAACTTAGATTTACTAAAAAATGTTTAATTATACATTTTAAATGGATAAAGTGGCATGTTAATTATAACTCAAAATTATTTTTAAAAAAGTATGATAGAAAAACATGCAAAAGCCATGCTTGCAAATAATTAACTTGGGAAAAGAGTTGCAATTTTTAAAACACAGAAACAGTGCCTGGTTGCCAAAGGTAGATGTTTCATAACACTCTGGATTGGAGGCTAGTCTTTTTCAGTCCAGGAAATATAGAAAGAAAAACAATCAGTAATGGCACTAGCCCTTAACTATTTTTTTTTTCTCTATCAACTTAACACTTTAGCAAGCAGTCTTTTAAATTCATTGATCAAAAAAAGGATGGGGGGTAGGAAGTGTAGGAAGGAAAGAGTAGGAAGTGGAGGAGTTTGCATTTATCTGAATTTATCAAACAGAAGAAAACTGATAGAGCTTCTTCCTTTTTACTCCCTCTTTTCCCACTCTAATATTAATCTGTTAATCAAAAATGAAAAATTAACTCAGTCAGCCTATGTTATTTAAGTTTTCTTTTGTTATAGACACCGGGCGTGAGAAGCCATTTCTCAGAATGTTGCATAGAGCCCAGAAGAAAAGGATGTGAGTGGATCCGACATTAAACGGAACATTCCTCAAAGTGTGTGCTACAAACAATACTCATAGACTGAGAAGTACTGCAGGAAAGAAATCCAACTGATGACATTTAATGGCAAGGAGCCTCACAAGAGACTGCACTGAGTGTTTGCCAAAACTCCCCTCCCACAAAGACTGTGCAGAGATCTTCAAATACTTCTTTCTATTCCTCCAGCTCACCAAACCTCTATGTAACCAATTATTTAAATAAGTTGATCCATTCCATTCGGAGTCAAATCCTCAAAGATCGTTTTAGGAGGTACTGACTTTCACTTTGAAGTTACAGCTACTGTCATTTATTCTCAAAATGAAAACAATCCTATAGATTATCTTCTGTTTGTTAATGATGTACTGTATACAATTTGTAATAAAAAGACAACTTAAAAAGTACAAAGAAATAAAATTAATCACTAAGTTTACCACTCAGATAAATACAAAGTACCATGGTGACCATTCTCTTAAACACTTGTATTAGTCAACTTTTCAGAGATGTAACCAAGTACCTGATACACACAATTGAAAGGAGAAAAGCTTTATTTTAGCTTATGGTTCCAGAGATTTTAGTCCATGATCAGTGGGCTCCAAGGCAGAAACATCAAGGTGGAAGGGTATGACAGAGGGAAGCTGCTCACCTCACAGGAGTCAGGAAAAAGTGAACCAGAAAGGAAGGAGCTGGGACAACATTTAACCTTCAAGGGGACAGGAAAGGAAAGAAGGAAAAAGAAAAAAATGTGAAAAAAGGAAAAAAATGGAAACAAAGTCTTTGTAAATAAGAAAGGGTGAAGAGGTAAAGGGAGTTCAGGGGTATGGGGAAAAAATAAGAACCAAGATATAACATGTAAAGGCACAAGATCCCAATGATAAATGTGACTGTATTGTTTGCTTTAAATGTGCCAATAAACTTAATGGGGGAAAAAATAAAGACAGAGGTCCAAGGTAAAAGAAAAAATTAACCTTCAAAACTATAACACCAGTGAGTTGCTTCATCTAATAAGGCTATTCAGCTAATGAAATCATCAATATTTCATTGATGAACTTAGCACCTTCATGATACAATCACCCATCTAGTTCCCATCCCAACATTGATGAACTGGGGATCAAACTTTTAATACATGAATCTTCAGAGGATGTTTCATATTGAAACCTCTACGACACCTTACTACTTATATATACACCCACAGATACATTATTTTACATAAGCAGTATAATACTATACATACTGTTCTGTATAATTATTTATTTTCAGATTAAGATAGGCTACATATATTTTAGAATTTGTAAATAATAAATGACATTTTAAAAGAATATATGATCTGTACAAACATTATACTTTTTAGTTTTAAATTTTTCATTTATTCTCCATAATTTAAAATTTTTTTCTAAATAATTCTTATCTTAATGCTCAGGATAAAATTAATAAGAAACTGCCAAGTACTGTGGGCTTAAAGCACACTCTGAAATATACCTGAATCGGTCCTGGAAGATCTACATACAGGATTTGAGGATTATTAAGACTCTTGTACATGTTATCTTATTTTTCTCCCAATTTAGAGAAGCTAAAATGAGTCAGATTAGCAGAAATATCTCTGTGGAGTTGCCAAATGTGGAGTTAATATTTCTTCTCAAAGTGAGCCCTTGAAAATCTGTAGGACACCAAGGAACTCTAAAAGATCATTTCTCTATGACCAAAGGAAAACTGCTGATTAAACTAATTATCCAGCCCCTTGTTTCAAGACTAGCACTACAAAACAAAAAATCTTTACTGGGCAATACAGCACGTGCTTAGCATGTGTAGGACCCTGGATTTCATCCCTTCTATCACAAAAACAAAACACAACACCACACCACACCATACCACACCCAAAGTAATTCTGGTAAAAATTAGTCACCAACACCCTTTCCATTCACCATTCTAATTACTCCAACAGTAATCTATTACAACTGTAACCATCACTGCTTTCTATTAAAAGCCTTTAGTGACTCAAATTTCTTACAAAGTCTAATCTCTAAAGCATAAGATAATAGGCCTTCCTAGAACACCAATTGCTAAAATTCCCAGTATCCCATCCCCCAGCACCCTGCCATACACCAAATACCTTATGCTGTTCTATGTGGAAGTCCCTGGGCCATTTCTTTCTTCCTAAAATGCTGCTTGTCTACCATATCCTTCTATCTGGTATACTTCTAGTCTACTTTTAGAAGCTACCTTAAGTGTCTCTTTTCCTGACCCATTGGGATAGTGTCTGGCAGAATACAGAAACCCAATACACACTATTTTTTGATGATCAATTATGTAGGGAACTATTTTAATTACCCAATTTAATAATGACAACCAAGCCCTTAAAATACAGAATTATTTTAAAATCAATTTGGAAAATAATATTTCTAAATCAAGTTTTGAAAATATGGTAAGCCAAAACATCATAAAAATGCAATAAAACTTTGGAGTATGATCTCATTTAAAACTCTTTAGAATCCGTATTTAATTTTCTTATTATTTACTGAAGCTACAATTGGCTACATTACTTTTAATAAGAAGGTGATTAGGACTACAAGATTTGAAGAGTTAGACCATGGGTTGATTCTCACTGCCTAGCAAGGAAACTACCTTAACAACTACTGCATGGCCATGACTGATTTTCTAACTGGTATCCATAACTCTGTCCCCCTTCTCCAATTTTCTTCCTTCCTTCATTCATTTATGGTACCAGGGATTGAACTCTGGACCTTGCACTTGTGGAGTAGGTAGTGGCACCACTGAGCTAAATCCCTAGCCCCATTCTTCCTCCATTCAAAACAAGAAAGGAAAACCAGATTTTGTTTGCTCAGTCAGAAAAAAAAAGTGTCCTCTTCCATAAGAAGCTGATTCCAATTCCCAGCTATAGGAGCAGGTGCAAGTTAGATGAGCAACCAGTACTTGAACTTCCCTGGAGACACTAACTGGCTGAGGCTGGGAAAGGGAGACTTGTGCCGCGGTCCTATCAATCTGAAAGGAAGGATGATACAACATGAGAGTTCCTTTGAACTCTCTTGCTAGGCATAAACAAGGAAATATATGACTCTGATTGGCAGCTACCTTTGACCCCAAGAAAAAAACAACCTTACTTAGATGAAGCTAATGTTGAGTGGCCATGAAAGAACACAAGCCCTTCCTTATATCACTAAGATACTGACCGCCCATTCTGTTATTATGTTTCTGAACTTTTTACTAGGTGAGATACTGTATTTCCTTAAATGATTAGGTTTAAGGTAGTACAGTTTGCTTGAGTATCCAGATAATAGAGCTGAAAGCATCTATTGATATTGAATGTAGTTCTTGAAATTGGGATAACAAAATTTAAAGTGGTCTCTTTTGAGAAATACTCAATACTAGGCTTACTATACTCATTTTACAAATCAGAAACCAAATACATATATGGAGAGGGTAAGAGGGAGAGTGGGGAGACAAAGAGGGAGAGAAAAAGACTGTCAGGCCACTAGAACCCAGGTTTGTCAGACTGTAAAAATCCATACTACAATAGCATTTCCAAAGTCCTAAGAGTGAATAGGTAATTTCAATTATTTTGTGACGGATTTTTTAAAAATATCAATTCCTTATTCTTTCCGATCTTCCTCTTCAATCTATACATCACATTGAAAAGATCCCTGTTTAAGTGGTCGTTTTAAATATTTCCTGCCAGGCGTGGTAGTGCATGCCTGTAATCCCAGCACTTGGGAGGCTAGGCAGGAGGATCGCTGTGAATTCAAGACCAGCCTGGGTTACACAGTGAGTTCCAGGTCAGTTTCAACTATATATTGAGACCCTGTCTCAAACAAACAAATTATATATATATTATTTATTTCCTTCTTTTAGCTCTTTCTGGAAAATATATACTTAAGATTTTTATCTTTCTTCTCAATAGAAAGAAATAAACTTAGTAGCTCAAGCCACTGGGAAAGAGAGATGTTTTATATCAAAAGGAAACATTGACAGCAAGCCCAATATTACATAAAAATTATGCATAACTAGTTCTTTGTCATTAAAATGTATAACATTAATATAAAGAAATGTTTTTTATATTTCCAAAAGAATGATACTGAGAACCTAATATTCAGCTATAATTTCATCTATTTATATATTTTTGGTATTTAAGGCAGAAAAAGTAAACAACCATTAGGATTAAAATGTCATTAACAAATTTGTTGAGTTAGTAAAAATGTTCTTACATTTACAGCAATTCCAATTTAAAAAAAAAATTCCATTTTCAAATAAAAATGATGAAAAAATTAATTCTGAATGTACTATGATTGCATGTATACCCAGAAATTGTTTAGATTTTTATCAGGTACAGCGTGAGCAATGAGAAAACAGAGGTGGCCAAATGCAAAAATGGTCATTTCAAATGACCACTCATATTAGCTTTCCACAAGCCTTCTACTCTTTATTTCATATTTCTAAGAAGCAAATGAAAGTTCTGGAACTAAATAACATAGCAACTGAAATTGGGAATTTAATAGTAGGCATAACAGAAGAGGGCCAGGCATGTAGCTCAGTGGTAAAATGGCCAGCATTCAAAAGGCCCTGGGTTCAGTTCCTAGCACTGCAAAATCAGATGAAAAAAAGCAGAAGACAAGACTAATGAACTGGAAGACAAGACAAAATAAAATGTCTAATAAGAACCTAACATTTTTTTCCTGTGGAAAAGTTAATCAGTGTTGTATAAAATATATTTTTAATAGAAAGCATTCACAACAGGGTAAATGAATGAGAGGACAGAATTTCAGACACAGAAGACAGGATTGCAGGCAGTGACCATGGAGAGATCTCTTAAACAGTAAGATATTTAAAAAGTACTAATAAACTCAATGAGGGGAAAAAAAACAAGAAAAAAGCCACAAAACAGTAAGGGACCAGGAGAAATCAATCCAACAACTCTTAGATGATGCAAAGAAGAATAGTATAAGACTGACAGGAATCCATAAAGTAGCAGGAGAAAGTTCAAATGACATAAAAAAAAAAAAAACTGTTGACAGAATTAATGGCAGAAAATTTCCCAGAGGGGGAAGAATTGGACATACAGATAAGTGAGGCATATAGGACTCCAACTAGCCATGATAAAAAACAAAACAAAACAAAAAAACTACACCTAGACATATAATAAGAACAAAATACTACAAGCAGTTAGAGAAAAGAAATAAATCACATGCAAAGAAAAGCCCATCAGAATCACAAAAGACTTTTCAACACAAACCCATAAGCCTAGGAGAGCCTGGAATGAGGTATTTCAAGCCCCAAAAGAAAACAACCTCCAACCTAGACTGATGTAT